TCTATGGGGCTGGAAGGGGGAATCTGGGGGGGGATCTATGGGGCTGGAGGGGGGAATCAATGGGGCTGGAGGGGGGAATCAATGGGGCTGGAGGGGGGGAATCAATGGGGCTGGAGGGGGGGGATCTATGGGGCTGGAAGGGGGAATCAATGGGGCTGGAAGGGGGAATCAATGGGGCTGAGGAGGGGGGTGCTCATGACCCTGCTGCAGCAGTGCGCCATGACCCTGCCCCTATGGATCGGGAAGCCGGGGGAGAAGTAGGGAATCTATGGGGCTGGGGGGATCTATGGGGCTGGAAGGGGGAATCAATGGGGCTGGAGGGGGGGATCTATGGGGCTGGAAGGGGGAATCAATGGGGCTGGAGGGGGGGGATCTATGGGGCTGGAGGGGGGAATCAATGGGGCTGGAGGGGGGGGATCTATGGGGCTGGAAGGGGGGGATCTATGGGGCTGGAGGGGGGATCTATGGGGCTGGAGGGGGGGATCTATGGGGCTGGAGGGGGGGGATCTATGGGGCTGGAGGGGGGGGATCTATGGGGCTGGAAGGGGGGGATCTATGGGGCTGGGGGGAATCAATGGGGCTGGGGGGGCAATTCATAGATTTTGGGTGTAAATCCATGGTTTTTGGGTGTAAATCTGTGGATTTTGGGTAGAAACTTGTGTTTTTTTGGAAATCCATGGAATTTGGGTGGAAATTCATGGATTTTGGATGTAAATCCGTAGATTTGGGGTTAAAATCCCTGGATTTTGGGTGTAAATGCCTGGATTTTGGGTGAAAACTGGCGTTTTTTTGGAAATCCATTGATTTTGGGTGTAAATCCCTGGATTTTGGGTGTAAATCCCTGGATTTTGGGTGGAAATCCCTGGATTTTGGGTGGAAACTCATGGTTTTTTGGAAATCCATGGAGTTTGAATGGAAATTCATGGATTTTGGACAGAAATGCGTGGATTTTGGGTGTAAATCTGTGGATTTCGGGTGAAAACTGGTGTTTTTTTGGAAATCCCTGGATTTTGGGTTAAAATCCCTGGGTTTTGGGTGTAAATCCCTGGGTTTTGGGTGTAAATCCCTGGATTTTGGGTGGAAACTTGTGGCTTTTTGGAAATCCCTGGATTTTGGACGGAAATCCCTCGATTTTGGGTTAAAATCCCTGGATTTTGGGTTAAAATCCGTGGATTTTGGGTGAAAACTGGTGGTTTTTTTGAAATCCCTGGATTTTCGTTGTAAATCCCTGTATTTTGGGTTAAAATTCCTCTATTTTGGGTTAAAATCCCTGTATTTGGGTTTAAAATCCGTGTATTTTGGGTTAAAATCCCTGGATTTTGGTTATAAATCCCTGTATTTTGGGTTAAAATCCCTGGGTTTTGGGTTAAAATCCCTGGATTTTGGGTTAAAATCCCTGGATTTGGGTTAAAATCCCCAGATTTTGGGTTAAAATCCCTGGATTTTGGGTTAAATCCCTGTATTTTGGGTTAAAATCCCTGTTTTTTGGGTTAAAATCCTCAGATTTTGGGTTAAAATCCCTGGATTTCGGGTGAAAACTGGTGTTTTTTTGGAAATCCCTGTATTTTGGGTGTAAATCCCTGTATTTTGGGTTAAAATCCCTGTATTTTGGGTTAAGATCCCTGTATTTTGGGTTAAAATCCCTGGATTTTGGGTTAAAATCCCCGGATTTTGGGTTAAAATCCCTGTATTTTGGGTTAAGATCCTTGTATTTTGGGTGTAAATCCCTGGATTTTGGTTGTAAATCCCTGGATTTTGGGTTAAAATCCCCGGTTTTTGGGTTCAAATCCCTGGATTTTGGGTGTAAATCCCTGTATTTCGGGTTAAAATCCCTGGATTTTGGGTGTAAATCCCTGGATTTTGGGTGTAAATCCCTGGATTTCGGGTGAAAACTGGTGTTTTTTGGAAATCCCTGGATTTTGGGTTAAAATCCCTCTATTTTGGGTTAAAATCTCTGTATTTTGAGTTAAAATCCCTGTATTTCGGGTTAAAATCTCTGTATTTTGAGTTAAAATTCCTGTATTTTGGGTTAAAATCCCTGTGTTTTGGGTTAAAATCCCTGTGTTTTGGGTTAAAATCCCTGTGTTTTGGGTGAAAACTGGTGTTTTTTTGGAAATCCATGGATTTTCGTTGTAAATCCCTGTATTTTGGGTTAAAATCCCTGTATTTTGGGTTAAGATCCCTGGTTTTTGGGTTAAAATCCCTGTATTTTGGGTTAAAATCCCCGGATTTTGGGTTAAAATCCCTGGATTTTGGGTGAAATCTGGTGTTTTTTTTTGAAATCCCTGGATTTCGGGTAGAAATTCATGGATTTTGGGTGAAAACTGGTGTTTTTTTTGAAATCCATTGATTTTGGGTGTAAATCCCTGGCTTTTGGTTATAAATCCCTGGATTTTGGGTGTAAATCCCTGGATTTTGGGTGGAAACTTGTGGCTTTTTGGAAATCCCTGGATTTTGGACGGAAATGCGTGGATTTTGGGTTAAAATCCCTGGATTTTGGGTGAAAATCCCTGTATTTTGGGTGATAATCCCTGTATTTTGGGTTAAAATCCCTGGTTTTTGGGTGAAAACTGGTGTTTTTTTGAAATCCCTGGATTTTGGGTTAAAATCCTTCTATTTTGGGTTAAGATCCCTGGTTTTTGGGTTAAGATCCCTGGATTTTGGGTTAAAATCCCTGTATTTTGGGTTAATATCCCTGTATTTTGGGTTAAAATCCCTGGATTTCGGGTGAAAACTGGTGTTTTTTTGGAAATCCCTGTATTTTGGGTGTAAATCCCTGTATTTTGGGTTAAAATCCCTGGATTTCGGGTGAAAACTGGTGTTTTTTTGGAAATCCCTGTATTTTGGGTGTAAATCCCTGTATTTTGGGTTAAAATCCCTGTGTTTTGGGTGAAAACTGGTGTTTTTTTGGAAATCCCTGGATTTTCGTTGTAAATCGCTGTATTTCGGGTTAAAATGCCTGTATTTTGGGTTAAAATCCCTGTATTTTGGGTTAAAATCCCTGGGTTTTGGGTTAAAATCCCTGGGTTTTGGGTTAAAATCCCTGTATTTTGGGTTAAAATCCCTGTATTTTGGGTTAAAATCCCTGTATTTTGGGTTAAAATCCCTGTATTTTGGGTTAAAATCCCTGGATTTCAGGTTAAAATCCCTGTATTTTGGGTTAAAATCCCTGTATTTTGGGTTAAAATCCCCGGATTTTGGGTTAAAATCCCTGTATTTGGGTTAAAATCCCTGTATTTGGGTTAAAATCCCTGTATTTGGGTTAAAATCCCCGGATTTTGGGTTAAAATCCCTGGATTTCGGGTGAAAACTGGTGTTTTTTTGGAAATCCCTGTATTTTGGGTTAAAATCCCGGATTTTGGGTTAAAATCCCTGTATTTCGGGTTAAAATCCCTGTATTTTGGGTTAAAATCCCTGTGTTTTGGGTGTAAATCCCTGTATTTCGGGTTAAAATCCCTGGATTTCGGGTTAAAATCCCCGTATTTTGGGGTAAAATCCCCGGATTTTGGGTTAAAATCCCTGGATTTCGGGTGAAAACTGGTGTTTTTTTGGAAATCCCTGGATTTCAGGTTAAAATCCCTGGATTTTGGGTTAAAATCCGTGGATTTTGGGTTAAAATCCCTGGATTTCGGGTGAAAACTGGTGTTTTTTTGGAAATCCCTGGATTTCAGGTTAAAATCCCTGGATTTTGGGTTAAAATGCCTGTATTTTGGGTTAAAATCCCTGTATTTTGGGTTAAAATCCCTGGGTTTTGGGTTAAAATCCCTGGGTTTTGGGTTAAAATCCCTGTATTTTGGGTTAAAATCCCTGTATTTTGGGTTAAAATCCCTGTATTTTGGGTTAAAATCCCTGTATTTTGGGTTAAAATCCCTGTATTTCGGGTTAAAATCCCTGGATTTCAGGTTAAAATCCCTGTATTTTGGGTTAAAATCCCTGTATTTTGGGTTAAAATCCCCGGATTTTGGGTTAAAATCCCTGTATTTGGGTTAAAATCCCTGTATTTGGGTTAAAATCCCTGTATTTGGGTTAAAATCCCCGGATTTTGGGTTAAAATCCCTGGATTTCGGGTGAAAACTGGTGTTTTTTTGGAAATCCCTGTATTTTGGGTTAAAATCCCGGATTTTGGGTTAAAATCCCTGTATTTCGGGTTAAAATCCCTGTATTTTGGGTTAAAATCCCTGTGTTTTGGGTGTAAATCCCTGTATTTCGGGTTAAAATCCCTGGATTTCGGGTTAAAATCCCCGTATTTTGGGGTAAAATCCCCGGATTTTGGGTTAAAATCCCTGGATTTCGGGTGAAAACTGGTGTTTTTTTGGAAATCCCTGGATTTCAGGTTAAAATCCCTGGATTTTGGGTTAAAATCCGTGGATTTTGGGTTAAAATCCCTGGATTTCGGGTGAAAACTGGTGTTTTTTTGGAAATCCCTGGATTTCAGGTTAAAATCCCTGGATTTTGGGTTAAAATCCCTGTATTTTGGGTTAAAATCCCTGGTTTTTGGGTTAAAATCTCTGTATTTTGGGTGTTTTTCAGGCCCCCCCCGCTCTGCGGCGCCGTCCCGGCTGCCGGTGACTACGTGGCCAAGCCTGGGGACAAGGTGGCGGCGAGGGTGAAGGCCCTGGAGGGGGATGAGCAATGGATCCTGGCCGAGGTGGTGAGCTACAGCCATGCTGCCAACAAGTGAGCCCCAAAATGGACCAAAATACGCCCAAAATGGCCCAAAATGCGCCCAAAATGACCCAAAACGGCCCAAAATTGACCCCAAACGGCCCAAATCTGAGCAAAATGACCCAAATCTGAGGAAAATGACCCAAATCTGAGCAAAATGACCCAAAATGGCCCCAAACCAGGCCTGGAGGGGGATGAGCAATGGATCCTGGCCGAGGTGGTGAGCTACAGCCATGCTGCCAACAAGTGAGCCCCAAAATGGACCAAAATACGCCCAAAATGGCCCAAAATGCGCCCAAAATGACCCAAAACGGCCCAAAATTGACCCCAAACGGCCCAAATCTGAGCAAAATGACCCAAATCTGAGGAAAATGACCCAAATCTGAGCAAAATGAGCCAAAATGGCCCCAAACCAGGCCTGGAGGGGGATGAGCAATGGATCCTGGCCGAGGTGGTGAGCTACAGCCATGCTGCCAACAAGTGAGCCCCAAAATGGACCAAAATACGCCCAAAATGGCCCAAAATGCGCCCAAAATGACCCAAAACGGCCCAAAATTGACCCCAAACGGCCCAAATCTGAGCAAAATGACCCAAATCTGAGGAAAATGACCCAAATCTGAGCAAAATGACCCAAAATGGCCCCAAACCAGGCCTGGAGGGGGATGAGCAATGGATCCTGGCCGAGGTGGTGAGCTACAGCCATGCTGCCAACAAGTGAGCCCCAAAATGGACCAAAATACGCCCAAAATGGCCCAAAATGCGCCCAAAATGACCCAAAACGGCCCAAAATTGACCCCAAACGGCCCAAATCTGAGCAAAATGACCCAAATCTGAGGAAAATGACCCAAATCTGAGCAAAATGAGCCAAAATGGCCCCAAACCAGGCCTGGAGGGGGATGAGCAATGGATCCTGGCCGAGGTGGTGAGCTACAGCCATGCTGCCAACAAGTGAGCCCCAAAATGGACCAAAATACGCCCAAAATGGCCCAAAATGCGCCCAAAATGACCCAAAACGGCCCAAAATTGACCCCAAACGGCCCAAATCTGAGCAAAATGACCCAAATCTGAGGAAAATGACCCAAATCTGAGCAAAATGACCCAAAATGGCCCCAAACCAGGCCTGGAGGGGGATGAGCAATGGATCCTGGCCGAGGTGGTGAGCTACAGCCATGCTGCCAACAAGTGAGCCCCAAAATGGACCAAAATACGCCCAAAATGGCCCAAAATGCGCCCAAAATGACCCAAAACGGCCCAAAATTGACCCCAAACGGCCCAAATCTGAGCAAAATGACCCAAATCTGAGGAAAATGACCCAAATCTGAGCAAAATGACCCAAAATGGCCCCAAACCAGGCCTGGAGGGGGATGAGCAATGGATCCTGGCCGAGGTGGTGAGCTACAGCCATGCTGCCAACAAGTGAGCCCCAAAATGGACCAAAATACGCCCAAAATGGCCCAAAATGCGCCCAAAATGACCCAAAACGGCCCAAAATTGACCCCAAACGGCCCAAATCTGAGCAAAATGACCCAAATCTGAGGAAAATGACCCAAATCTGAGCAAAATGACCCAAAATGGCCCCAAACCAGGCCTGGAGGGGGATGAGCAATGGATCCTGGCCGAGGTGGTGAGCTACAGCCATGCTGCCAACAAGTGAGCCCCAAAATGGACCAAAATACGCCCAAAATGGCCCAAAATGCGCCCAAAATGACCCAAAACGGCCCAAAATTGACCCCAAACGGCCCAAATCTGAGCAAAATGACCCAAATCTGAGCAAAATGACCCAAATCTGAGCAAAATGACCCAAAATGGCCCCAAACCAGGCCTGGAGGGGGATGAGCAATGGATCCTGGCCGAGGTGGTGAGCTACAGCCATGCTGCCAACAAGTGAGCCCCAAAATGGACCAAAATACAACCAAAACACGCCCAAAATGACCCAAAACGGCCCAAAATTGACCCCAAACGGCCCAAATCTGAGCAAAATGACCCAAAATGTGCCCAAAATGACCCAAAATTGCCCCAAACCAGGCCTGGAGGGGGATGAGCAATGGATCCTGGCCGAGGTGGTGAGCTACAGCCATGCTGCCAACAAGTGAGCCCCAAAACGGACCAAAATACGCCCAAAATGACCCAAAGTATGCCCCAAACGGCCAAAATGTGACCAAAATGACCCAAAACGGCCCAAAATAGCCCCAAAACAGCCCAAATCTGAGCAAAATGACCCAAATCTGAGCAAAATGACCCAAAATCGCCGCAAAACGGCCAAAATTGTGGCCAAAATGACCCAAAATACACCCAAAACAGCCCAAAATGACCCAAAATACACCCAAAATGACCCAAAATACGTCCAAAATGGCCCCAAATTGCCCCCAAACGGCGCAAATCTGAGCAAAATGACCCAAATCTGAGCAAAATGACCCAAAATAGCCCCAAAATGGCCAAAACCTGAGCCAAATGAGCCCAAATAGCCCCCAAACAGCCCAAATCTGAGCAAAATGACCCAAATCTGAGTAAAATGACCCAAAATCACCCCCAAACAGCCAAAATGTGCCCAAAATGACCCAAAATGGCCCCAAACCAGGCCTGGAGGGGGATGAGCAATGGATCCTGGCTGAGGTGGTGAGCTACAGCCATGCTGCCAACAAGTGAGCCCCAAAATACGCCCAAAATGACCCAAAACGGCCCAAAATTGCCCCCAAACGGCCCAAATCTGAGCAAAATGACCCAAAATCACCCAAAAACGGCCAATATCTGAGCAAAAATGAGCTAAAATAGCCCCAAAACAGCCCAAAATAACCCAAAATACGCCCAAAATGGCCCAAAATTGCCCCCAAACGGCCCAAATCTGAGCAAAATGACCCAAAATCGCCCCAAAAGGGCCAAAATTGTGGCCAGAATTACCCAAAATAGCCCCAAAATAGCCCCAAAATGGCCCAAATCTGAGCAAAATGACCCAAAATTGCCCCCAAACAGCCAAACTCTGAGCAAAATGAGCCCAAATAACCCCCAAACGGCCCAAAAGTGACCAAAATGACCCAAATCTGAGCAAAATGACCCAAAATCACCCAAAAACGGCCAAAATCTGTGAAAAAATGAGCCAAAATAGCCCCAAAACAGCCCAAATCTCAGCCAAATGAGCCCAAATAGCCCCCAAACAGCCCAAATCTGAGCAAAATGACCCAAAATCGCCCCCAAATGGCTAAAATTGTGACCAAAATGACCCAAAATAGCCCCAAAACAGACCAAAATGACCCAAAATACGCCCAAAATGGCCCAAAATAGCCCCCAGACGGCCCAAATCTGAGCAAAATGAGCCCAAATAGCTCCAAAATGGCCCAAAATTGACCAAAATGACCCAAATCTGAGCAAAATGACCCAAAATAGCCCCAAAACAGCCAAAATGTGACCAAAATGACCCAAAATAGCCCCCAAATGGCCAAAAATGACACAAAATAATCCCTAAATTGCCCAAACCTGAGCAAACTGAGCCAAAATAGCCCAAATTGGACCAAATCTGAGAACAATGAGTCAAAAAGGTCCAAATCTGAGCAAAATGACCCAAAATAGCCCCAAACCTGCCAAAATCTGACCAAAATGGCCCAAACCAGGCAAAATTCAGCCAAAATTCAACCAAAATGACCCAAAATAGCCCCAAAGCGGCCCAAATCCCCCCAAATAACCCAAAACAGGCAAAATTTAGCCAAAATTTGACCAAAATGACCCAAAATAGCCCCAAAGCGGCCCAAATCCCCCAAAATGACCCAAACCAGGCAAAATTTAGCCAAAATCTGACCAAAATGACCAAAAACAGCCCCAAAGCAGCCGAAAATGACCCAAACCAGACAAAAAATTAGCCAAAATCTGACAAAAATGAACCAAAATAGCCCAAATCCCCCAAAATGATCAAAACCCACCCAAAATTAGCCTCAAAACTGCCCAAATTTGGCCCAAACCACCTCAAAATCACAAAAATGACCCAAATCCCCCCAAATTTGAGCCCCCAAAGTGACCCAAAATCCCCCTTTTTGACCCCATTTTTGGGTGTCCCCCCCCCAGGTACGAGGTCGATGACATCGATGAAGAGGGCAAAGAGTGAGTGCGGTCCTGCCCCATAGCGCCCCATAGGCACCCCATAGAGCCCCATAGCCCCCCCATAGACCTCCATAGAGACCCTATAGAGCCCCATAGCCACCCCATAGCGCCCCATAGCACTCCATAGACCTCCATAGAGACCCCATAGCGCCCCATAGGCACCCCATGGCGCCCCATAGCGCTCTATAGCCACACCATAGCCAACCCATAGTGCCCCGTAGATACCCCATAGCGCCCCACAGACACCCCATAGTGCCCCATAGACGCCCCATAGAGCACCATAGACCTCCATAGCCCCCCATAGACACCCCATAGACCTCCATAGCCACCCCATAGACACCCCATAGACACCCATAGACACCCCATAGGCACCCCATTGTGCCCCATAGACACCCCATATCATCCCATAGACACCCCTTAGACCCCCATAGACACTCCATAGACACTCTTTAGAGCCCCATAGCCACCCCATAGACACCCATAGACCCCCATAGACACCCCATAGCGCCCCATAGACACCCCATTGTGCCCCATAGACACCCCATAGCACCCCATAGAGACCCCATAGACACCCCATATCATCCCATAGACACCCCTTAGACCCCCATAGACACCCCATAGACACCCCATAGCGCCCCATAGACACCCATAGACACCCCTTAGACCCCCATAGACACCCCATAGAGCCCCATAGCGCCCCATAGACACCCCATAGACACCCCATAGACCCCCATAGACACCCCTTAGAGCCCCATAGAGCCCCATAGACACCCATAGAGCCCCATAGACACCCCATAGCGCCCCATAGAGCCCCATAGACACCCATAGTGCCCCATAGACACCCCATAGCGCCCCATAGAGACCCCATAGACACCCCATATCTCCCCATAGACACCCCTTAGAACCCCATAGACACCCCATAGAGCCCCATAGACACTCCATATCGCCCCATAGACACCCCTTAGACCCCCATAGACACCCCATAGAGCCCCATAGCGCCCCATAGACACCCCATAGACACCCCATAGACCCCCATAGACACCCCTTAGAGCCCCATAGCGCCCCATAAACACCCCATAGTGCCCCATAGACACCCCTTAGACCCCCATAGACACCCCGTATCGCCCCATAGAGACCCCTTAGACCCCCATAGAAACACCATAGACACCCCATAGGCAACCATAGACACCCATAGACACCCCATAGCCGCCCCACAGCCCCCTATACCCCCCCCATAGACAGCACACGCTGAGCTGGCGCCGCATCATCCCGCTGCCGCAGTGGAAGACCCCTCATAGACCCCCATAGAGCCCCATAGACCCCCATAGAGCCCCATAGACCCCCATAGAGCCCCATAGACACCCCATATCGCCCCCTAGACACCCCTTAGACCCACATAGACACCCCATAGAGCCCCATAGACACTCTTTAGACACCCATAGACACCCCATAGTGCCCCATAGACACCCCATATCGCCCCATAGACACCCCTTAGACCCCCATAGACACCCCATAGAACCCCATAGAGCCCCATAGAGCCCCATAGACGCCCCATAGTGCCCCATATTGCCCCATGGACACCCCATAGCGCCCCATAGAGACCCCATAGACACCCCATATCGCCCCCTAGACACCCCTTAGACCCCCATAGACACCCCATAGAGCCCCATAGACACTCTTTAGACACCCATAGACACCCCGTAGCGCCCCATAGACACCCCATAGAGCCCCATAGTGCCCCATAGTGCCCCATAGACACCCCATAGACACCCATAGACACCCCATAGAGCCCCATAGACACCACATAGACCCCCATAGACGCCCCATAGCACCCCATATCGCCCCATAGAGACCCCTTAGACCCCCATAGACACCCCATAGAGCCCCATAGACACTCTTTAGACCCCCATAGACACCCCATAGACACCCATAGGCACCCCATAGAGACAACATAGACACCCCATATCACCCCCTAGACACCCCTTAGACCACCATAGACACCCCATAGAGCCCCATAGCGCCCCATAGCCGCCCCACAGCCCCCTATGCCCCCCATAGACGTCACACGCTGAGCCGGCGCCGCATCATCCCGCTGCCGCAGTGGAAGACCCCTCATAGACCCCCATAGAGCCCCATAGACACCCCATAGAGCCCCATAGACACCCCATAGAGCCCCATAGACACCCCATAGTGCCCCATAGACACCCCATAGAGCCCCATAGACACCCCATAGAGCCCCATAGACACCCCATAGTGCCCCATAGACACCCCATAGAGCCCCATAGACACCCCATAGACACCCCGTAGCGCCCCATAGACACCCCTTAGACCCCCATAGACACCCCATAGATGTCACACGCTGAGCCGGCGCCGCATCATCCCGCTGCCGCAGTGGAAGACCCCTCATAGACCCCCATAGTGCCCCATAGAGCCCCATAGACACCCCATAGAGCCCCATAGACACCCCATAGACACTCTTTAGAGCCCCATAGACACCCCTTAGACCCCCATAGACACCCCATAGCGCCCCATAGACACCCCATAGCCCCCTGTCCCCCCCCCATAGACGTCACACGCTGAGCCGGCGCCGCATCATCCCGCTGCCGCAGTGGAAGACGAACCCGGAGACGGACCCGGAGGCTCTGTTCCAACGGGAGCAGCTCGTGCTGGCCCTGTACCCCCAGACCACGTGTTTCTATAGGGCGCTCATCCACACCCCCCCCCAGCGTGTGGGTCACCCCTCGGGGGCAATGGGGAGCAATGGAAGTCAATGGGATTGAGTGGGGAGCAATGGGGGTCAATGGGGAGCAATGGGGGTCAATGGGATTGAGTGGGGAGCAATGGGGGTCAATGGGGATCAATGGAAGTCAATGGGATTGAGTGGGGAGCAATGGGGGTCAATGGGGATCAATGGAAGTCAATGGGATTGAATGGGGATCAATGGGGAGCAATGGGATTGAGTGGGGAGCAATGGGGGTCAATGGGGATCAATGGAAGTCAATGGGATTGAGTGGGGAGCAATGGGGGTCAATGGGTATCAATGGAAGTCAATGGGATTGGGGAGCAATGGGGGTCAATGGGGATCAATGGAAGTCAATGGGATTGAGTGGGGATCAATGGGGGTCAATGGGGAGCAATGGAAGTCAATGGGATTGAGTGGGGAGCAATGGGGGTCAATGGGGCTGGGGATGGGAATCAATGGGGATTAATGGGGGTCAGTGGGGAGCAACGGGGAGCAATGGGGCTGGGGATCAATGGGGGTCAATGGGGAGCTATGGGGATCAATGGGATTGAGTGGGGATCAATGGGGAGCAATGGGATTGAGTGGGGTTCAATGGGGGTCAATGGGGATCAATGGAAGTCAATGGGATTGAGTGGGGAGCAATGGGGGTCAATGGGGATCAATGGAAGTCAATGGGATTGAGTGGGGAGCAATGGGGATCAATGGGGATCAATGGAAGTCAATGGGATTGAGTGGGGAGCAATGGGGGTCAATGGGATTGAGTGGGGGTCAATGGGGATCAATGGAAGTCAATGGGATTGAGTGCGGAGCAATGGGGGTCAATGGGGATCAATGGAAGTCAATGGGATTGAGTGGGGAGCAATGGGGGTCAATGGGGATCAATGGAAGTCAATGGGATTGAATGGGGATCAATGGGGAGCAATGGGATTGAGTGGGGAGCAATGGGGGTCAATGGGGATCAATGGAAGTCAATGGGATTGAGTGGGGAGCAATGGGGGTCAATGGGGATCAATGGAAGTCAATGGGATTGGGGAGCAATGGGGGTCAATGGGGAGCAATGGGGGTCAATGGGATTGAGTGAGAAGCAATGGGGGTCAATGGGGATCAATGGAAGTCAATGGGATTGAGTGGGGATCAATGGGGGTCAATGGGGAGCAATGGAAGTCAATGGGATTGAGTGGGGAGCAATGGGGGTCAATGGGGCTGGGGATGGGAATCAATGGGGATTAATGGGGGTCAGTGGGGAGCAACGGGGAGCAATGGGGCTGGGGATCAATGGGGGTCAATGGGGAGCTATGGGGATCAATGGGATTGAGTGGGGATCAATGGGGAGCAATGGGATTGAGTGGGGTTCAATGGGGGTCAATGGGGATCAATGGAAGTCAATGGGATTGAGTGGGGAGCAATGGGGGTCAATGGGGATCAATGGAAGTCAATGGGATTGAGTGGGGAGCAATGGGGGTCAATGGGGATCAATGGAAGTCAATGGGATTGAGTGGGGAGCAATGGGGGTCAATGGGGATCAATGGAAGTCAATGGGATTGAGTGGGGAGCAATGGGGGTCAATGGGATTGAGTGGGGAGCAATGGGGGTCAATGGGGAGCAATGGAAGTCAATGGGATTGAGTGGGGTTCAATGGGGGTCAATGGGGAGCAATGGGGGTCAATGGGATTGAGTGGGGAGCAATGGGGGTCAATGGGATTGAGTGGGGATCAATGGAAGTCAATGGGATTGAGTGGGGAGCAATGGGGGTCAATGGGATTGAGTGGTGAGCAATGGGGGTCAATGGGATTGAGTGGGGAGCAATGGGGGTCAATGGGATTGAGTGGGGAGCAATGGGGGTCAATGGGGATCAATGGAAGTCAATGGGATTGAGTGGGGAGCAATGGGGGTCAATGGGATCAATGGAAGTCAATGGGATTGAGTGGGGAGCAATGGGGGTCAATGGGGATCAATGGAAGTCAATGGGATTGAATGGGGAGCAATGGGGGTCAATGGGGATCAATGGAAGTCAATGGGATTGAATGGGGAGCAATGGGGGTCAATGGGATTGAGTGGGGAGCAATGGGGGTCAATGGGGATCAATGGGGGTCAATGGGATTGAATGGGGGTCAATGGGGATCAATGGGGATGGGGATGGGGGGGATTCCCCCAGACCACGTGTTTCTATAGGGCGCTCATCCACACCCCCCCCCAGCGTGTGGGTCACCCCTCGGGGGCAATGGGGAACAATGGGGGTCAATGGGGAGCAATGGGGATCAATGGGATTGAGTGGGGAGCAATGGGGGTCAATGGGGATCAATGGAAGTCAATGGGATTGAGTGGGGAGCAATGGGGGTCAGTGGGGAGCAATGGGGATGGGGATGGGGGGGATTCCCCCAGACCACGTGTTTCTATAGGGCGCTCATCCACACCCCCCCCCAGCGTGTGGGTCACACCTCGGGGGCAATGGGGAGCAATGGGGGTCAATGGGATTGAGTGGGGAGCAATGGGGGTCAATGGGAAGCAATGGGGTTCAATGGGGTCAATGGGGATCAATGGGATTGAGTGGGGAGCAATGGGGTTCAATGGGGAGCAATGGGGATCAATGGGGAGCAATGGGATTGAGTGGGGAGCAATGGAAGTCAATGGGATTGAGTGGGGAGCAATGGGGGTCAATGGGATTGAGTGGGGAGCAATGGGGATCAATGGGAAGCAATGGGGGTCAATGGGGATCAATGGGATTGAGTGGGGAGCAATGGGGGTCAATGGGGCTGGGGATGAATGGGAATCAATGGGGATCAGTGGGGGTCAATGGGGATCAATGGGAGTCAATGGGATTGAGTGGGGATCAATGGGGATGGGGATGAATGGGAATCAACGGGGATCAATGGGGGTCAATGGGGAGCTATGGGGATCAATGGGATTGAGTGGGGATCAATGGGGCTGGGTTTGAATGGGAATCAATGGGGAGCAATGGGGATCAATGGGGCTGGGGAAGTGACCCGGAAGTGACTGGTCATGGGCTGTAACTTCTGGGAAGTGACCCAGAAAAGGGGGTGGCACTTCCGGGAATGGGCGGGGTCTTCCGGGAAGTGACCCGGAAATGGCCTGGCGCTTCCCGGAAGTAACCCGGAAATGTGCCGGTACTTCCGGGAAGTGACCCCCAAACGAGGGGGCACTTCCGGGAAGCGACCGGAAATGGGCTGGGACTGCCAAAAGTGACCCGGAAATGTGCTGGTACTTCCGGGTAGTGACCCGGAAAGGGGGTGGGACTTCCGAAAGAGACCCAAAAATGGGATGGGACTTCCGGGAAGTGACTCGGAAGTGGGCTAGGACTTGCAGAAAGGACCGGAGATGGGGCGTTACTTCCGGGAAGTGACCCGGAAGTGGGCTGGGACTTGCAGAAGGGACCAGAAATGGGACGTTACTTCCGGGAAGTGACCCGAAAGCGAGTTAATAATTCCGGGAAGTGACCCGGAAGTGGGCTAGGACTTGCAGAAGGGACCGGAGATGGGGCAAGACTTCCGGGAAGTGACCCGGAAGTGGGCTAGGACGTGCAGAAGAGACCGGAAATGGGGCGTTACTTCCGGGAAGTAACCCGGAAGCGAGTTAAGTTTTCCGGGAAGTGACCCGGAAGTGAGCTGGGCCTTCCGGGAGGTGACCCGGAAGTGACGTTTTCCTTTCCTTGCCCTCCCCCAGCCGCAGGACGATTACTCGGTGCTGTTTGAGGACACCTCGTACGCCGACGGGTACTCGCCCCCCCTCAACGTGGCGCAGCGCTACGTGGTGGCCTGCAGGGAGAGCAGGAAGAAGTGACCCGGAACGGGGCAAAAATGGGCAAAAACGGGGTGGAAATGGGGAAAACGGGGAAAAAATGGGGAAAAATGGGGAAAAAAGGTGTAAAAATGAGGAAAATGGGAAAAAGAAGGGTACGTGGTGGCCTGCAGGGAGAGCAGGAAGAAGTGACCCGAAACGGGGCAAAAACGGGCAAAAACGGGGTGGAAATGGGCAAAAATGGGGAAAAAATGGTGAAAAACGGTGAAAAAATGGGGAAAAACAGGGAAAAAATGAGGAAAATAGGAAAAAGAAGGGTACGTGGTGGGCTGCAGGGAGAGCAGGAAGAAGAGACCTGAAACAGGGCAAAAACGGGGTGGAAATGGGGAAAAAAATGGGGGAAAACGGTGAAAAAATGAAAAATGGTGAAAAAATGGGGAAAAATGGTGAAAAAATGGGGAAAAATGGGGAAAAACGGGGAAAAAATGGGAAAAAGAAGGGTACGTGGTGGCCTGCAGGGAGAGCAGGAAGAAGTGACCTGAAATGGGGCGAAAATGGGCAAAAACGGGGTGGAAATGGGGAAAAAATGGGGAAAAACGGTGAAAAAATGGGGAAAAACAGGGAAAAAATGAGGAAAATAGGAAAAAGACGTTTATGTGGTGGTCTACAGGGAGAAAACGAAGAAGTGACCCGAAACGGGGCGAAAACGGGCAAAACCGGGGTGGAAATGGGGAAAATGGGAAAAAAATGGGGAAAAACGGTGAAAAAATGGGGAAAAAAGGTGTAAAAATGAGGAAAATAGGAAAAAGACGTTTATGTGGTGGTCTACAGGGAGAAAAGGAAGAAGTGACCCAAAATGGGGCCAAAATTGGCGAAAATGGGCAAAAACGGGGTGGAAATGGGGAAAATGGGAAAAAAATGGGGAAAAACGGTGAAAAAATGGGGGAAAAAGGTGTAAAAATGAGGAAAATAGGAAAAAGAAGGGTATGTGGTGGCCTGCAGGGAGAGCAGGAAGAAGGGACCCGAAACGGGGCAAAAATGGGGTGGAAATGGGGAAAAAATGGGGGAAAAAGGTGAACAATGAGGAAAAACGTGGAAAAAATAGGGAAAAACGGTGAAAAATGAGGAAAAATGGTGAGAAAGGGTGAAAAAAAAAAAAACAGTGAAAAAATGGGGAAAAAGGGGAAAAATGGGGAAAAATTAGGAAAAAATGGGGAAAAATGGGGGAAAAATGGGGAAAAGAAGGGTACGTGGTGGCTTGCAGGGAGAGCAGGAAGAAGTGACCCGAAATGGGGCCAAAAAGGGCGAAAATGGGCAAAAATGGGTGGGGAAATGGGGGAAAACGGGGTGGAAATGGGGAAAATGGGGGAAAATTGTGAGAAACAGTGAAAAAATGGGGAAAAAATGGGGAAAATAGGGAAAAGAAGGGTACATGGTGGCCTGCAGGGAGAGCAGGAAGAAGTGACCCGAAATGGGGCCAAAAAGGGCGAAAATGGGCAAAAATGGGTGGGGAAATGGGGGAAAACGGGGTGGAAATGGGGAAAATTGTGAGAAACAGGAAAAATGGGGAAAAAATGGGGAAAATAGGGAAAAGAAGGGTACGTGGTGGCCTGCAGGGAGAGCAGGAACAAGTGACCCGAAATGGGGCCAAAAAGGGCGAAAATGGGTGGGGAAATGGGGGAAAACGGGGTGGAATTGGGGAAAATGGGAAAAAATGGGGAGAAAATGGGAAAAAAGAACATTATGGGGTGTCCTGCGGAAAATGGGGGGGTAATGGGGAAAAATGGCCAAAAATCAAAGAAAATGGGGAAAAATTGGGCAAAAATGGGGAGAAATTAGGATGAAGGGGGAAAAATGGGTTAAAAAGGGGGAAAATGGGCAAAATGTGGCTGCTGGGATGGGGAGGAAAATGGGGAGAAACGGCTGGAAAACGGTGAAAAATGAGTGAAAAATAAAGGAAAATGGTCAAAATCAGGGGAAAGGGGTCAAAAAATGGGGGAAAATGGGAAAAATGGGGAGAAATTAGGATGAAGGGGGAGAATGGGTTAAAAAAGGGTGGAAATGGGCAAAAATGGTGAAAACCAGGGAGAAAATGGGGAAAAATGGGCAAAATTAGCATGGAAATGGGAGGAAACGGGGTAAAAATGGGGGAAAATCAGGAAAAAGGGAAAAGATGGGGTTGAAAATGGAAAAATCAGGGAAAATGGGGAAGAAACAGGAAAAATGGGGAAAAAATGGGGTAAAAATGACAAAAATGGGGTAAAGTGGGGGAAAAAGAGGAGAAAATGGGTGCAAAAAGGGGGAAAATGGGCAAAATGTGGCTGCTGGGATGGGGAGAAAAATGGGGAGAAACGGCTGGAAAACGGTGAAAAATGAGTGAAAAATAAAGGAAAATGGTAAAAATCAGCGGAAAAGGGTCAAAAAATGGGGGAAAATGGGAAAAAATGGGGAGAAATTAGGATGAAGGGGGAAAAATGGGTTAAAAAAGGGTGGAAATGGGCAAAAATGGTTAAAAACAGGGAGAAAATGGGGAAAAATGGGCAAAATTAGCATGGAAATGGGGAGGAAAGGGGTAAAAATGGGGGAAATCAGGAAAAAATGGGGAGAAAACGGGGAAAATGGGGAAAAAAAGACAAAAATGGGATAAAGTGGGAAAAAGAGGAGAAAATGGGTGCAAAAAGGGGGAAAATGGGCAAAATGTGGCTGCTGGGATGGGGGAGAAAAATGGGGAGAAACGGCTGGAAAACGGTGAAAAATGAGTGAAAAATAAAGGAAAATGGTCAAAATCAGGGGAAAAGGGTCAAAAAATGGGGGAAAATGGGAAAAATGGGGAGAAATTAGGATGAAGAGGGGAAAACGGGTTAAAAAGGGGTGGAAATGGGCAAAAATGGTTAAAACCAGGGAGAAAATGGGGAAAAATAGCATGGAAATGGGAGGAAAGGGGTAAAAAAAGGGGGAAATCAGGAAAAAATGGGGAGAAAATGGGGAAAAAATGACAAAAATGGGGTAAAGTGGTGGAAAAAGAGAAAATGGGTACAAAAAGGGGGAAAATGGGCAAAATGTGGCTGCTGGGATGGGGAGAAAAATGGGGAGAAACGGCTGGAAAACGGTGAAAAATGAGTGAAAAATAAAGGAAAACGGTCAAAATCAGGGGAAAAGGGTCAAAAAATGGGGGAAAATGGGAAAAAATGGGGAGAAATTAGGATGAAGGGGGAAAAATGGGTTAAAAAGGGTGGAAATGGGCAAAAATGGTTAAAAATGGGGGAAAATGGGGAAAAATGGGCAAAAATAGCATGGAAATGGGGAGGAAAGGGGTAAAAATGGGGGAAATCAGGGAAAATGGGGTAAAAATGACAAAAAATGGGGTAAAGTGGGGAAAAAAGAGAAAATGGGTACAAAAAGGGGGAAAATGGGCAAAATGTGGCTGCTGGGATGGGGAGAAAAATGGGGAGAAACGGCTGGAAAACGGTGAAAAATGAGTGAAAAATAAAGGAAAATGGTCAAAATTAGGGGAAAAGGGTCAAAAAATGGGGGAAAATGGGAAAAATGGGGAGAAATTAGGATGAAGGGGGGAAAACGGGTTAAAAAGGGGTGGAAATGGGCAAAAATGGTTAAAACCAGGGAGAAAATGGGGAAAATTAGCATGGAAATGGGGAGGAAAGGGGTAAAAATGGGGGAATCAGGAAAAAAACGGGGAGAAAATGGGGAAAAAAATGACAAAAATGGGATAAAGTGGGGGAAAAGGAGGAGAAAATGGGTACAAAAAGGGGGAAAATGGGCAAAATGTGGTTGCTGGGATGGGAGAAAAATGGGGAGAAACGGCTGGAAAACGGTGAAAAATGAGTGAAAAATAAAGGAAAATGGTAAAAATCAGCGGAAAAGGGTCAAAAAATGGGGGAAAATGAGAAAAAAATGGGGGAAAATGGGAAAAAATGGGGAGAAATTAGGATAAGGGGGAAAAAATGGGTTAAAAAAGGGTGGAAATGGGCAAAAATGGTTAAAAATGGGGGAAAATGGGCAAAAATAGCATGGAAATGGGGAGGAAAGGGGTAAAAATGGGGGAAATCAGGAAAAACGGGGAGAAAACGGGGAAAATGGGGTAAAAATGACAAAAATGGGATAAAGTGGTGTGAAAAAGAGAAAATGGGTACAAGAAGGGGGAAAATGGGCAAAATGTGGCTGCTGGGATGGGGAGAAAAATGGGGAGAAAAATGGGGAGAAACGGCTGGAAAACGGTGAAAAATAAAGGAAAATGGTCAAAATTAGGGGAAAAGGGTCAAAAATGGGGGAAAATGGGGAAAAATGGGGAGAAAGGATGGGGGAAAATGGGTTAAAAAAGGGTGGAAATGGGCAAAAATGGTTAAAAACGGAGAAAATGGGGAAAAATGGGCAAAAATAGCATGGAAATGGGAGGAAAGGGGTAAAAATGGGGGAAAATGGGAAAAAATGGGGAGAAAACGGGGAAAAAGGGGGCAGGGACCCGTCCGACCCCAAAACTGAGCCTTTTAGCCCCAAATCCCACCTCAAAGCGCCCCAGGGACCCCCAACCCCCTTTGGGAGACCCCAAAACGGGGGGGAAATGGGGTGAAAAGGCCGCTGATGTCATCGTCGACGTCATCAATGATGTCATATAAACCTTTATTGACCTTAAAAGGGAAGGGGGGCGGAGCCAAGTGGAGGCCCCGCCTCCTGCGTCATCAGTGCTGGACCCTGTTGGGGGGGGAGGGGAGAAGAGGTCAAAGGGGGCGGAGCTTAAAAAGGGGGGTGGGGCAAAGGGGGGCGGGGCTTACCTGGGGCTCCGCCCCCTCGATGACGTCACCTTCGCCAAGGCTGTAGCGAATGAGGTCACCCCATAGGAGGTAGGAGTCACAGCTGGGGGGGGGGCAGGGGGCGGGGCTAAAGTGAGGCCACGCCCCCCTTCCTCCAATGGGGCTCGGCTATTGGCTGCTGCCACGGCAACGAGCCCGCCCCATAGCAACCACTTCAGTGTCAAGCCCCGCCCCTTAGCGAACACAATAGGAACAAGCCCCGCCCCTTTGCATCAAGCCCCTCCCCTTAGCAACAAGCCCCGACCCTCAGCAACCCCCTTGTGGTCAAGCCCCGCCCCTCAGCATCAAGCCCCGCCCCTTAGCAACAGACCCCTCCCCTTAGCAACAAGCCTCTCCCCTTAGCAACAAGCCCCACCACTTATCAACGTCCTTAGCAACAAGCCCCGCCCCTTAAC